GCTAGGATAGGTCCAGCGGTGTGAGCCCCCTCCTCCAGTGCTGGAGCCCTTACAGCAGGATTCCAACAGTCCACGTGGTACATACAGGAGGGGGAGCTGGGCATCAAGGTTGGTGCTGGTCCTATGTGGGGAGGTCCCCTTCAAGGCAGCCGTCAGTCCAGCTGACTCTCCACATCGCATTCCCACTCGATTAGTCTCCATTCACTGCACAGCCCCCTGGTGTAGTTAGCGCTTTCCAATCACACTAACATCACTGCCTGCTATTTCTAAGCCCTGGCTCCCTCCCTCGCCTTTGATCCACTGACAGGCTTTTCACCATCTCTGCATGCTGCCTGCTCCCTGCCCTTCACTCTCCCCACCTTCACTCACACCCATTCTCACTGTCTGTTTCATGAACCCTTGCTTTTTGATTCTGTAAGAAGACTAGAAATGGGGTAAGCTGGGAGGGAGGTAAGGGAGGGAAAGATGAAGCGGGAGAAGCATTCTTACCATCCTACTGCCCTCTTATGGAATCATGAGCAAAGTGACTGTGGACCACTGAAAGGGATCTTCTACGGCCACCTGGAGGCCCAGGAGCAGAGACTGGACATCAGCTCAAAGATCCAAGGGCTGTTAACTGTAACCAGACCTTTTCAAAGGGCAATGCTCATGTCTGTGCTGAGATTCCGACTCATCCCACCACTAATCTTTCTCAAGAGAAAAAGCTCTAGCTACTGCCTGAGGTTAGAGCACAGGAACTCAACACTCCATGTGGCAAAAAAGAACGAAATCTGCTGGGATGCTGAAGAAAGGGGTGGGAGGTGTCCTTAACACCTCCCACTCCAGACATTTCCCCCTGTCACACTGGGCGGCCTATTTATATTAAAGAGGTTATAAGAATATGTTTAAAAGCTCCCACTCCAGCACAGAAGCAGATTCATCAGAAGGAAAACCTTTGAAAAGCCAGGGCATGTCAAAGTAGAAAACCCCTTTGCTGGCATCTATACACCATTGTGAAGTAAAAATTAGCCCAAATAAACTGCAATCATGATTGATTCACATTAGGATCTTCAGTCCACCAGCTGACAGCAGGGACCATGTAGCTACTCTATCCAGAAAGTAGGACAGTCAAGAGAAGAAAACTGCATGCACCCTGAGTGAAGAGCATCTCTGTCTCAATGGGGTTCATTCATTCATTCCCTTATTCCTTCTCTCAATTATGCAGCAAAACTTCTCCCAGGTACTTCCTTTCTGTGTCCCAGACACTGGTCTGGGTGCTGGCCACATAGATGTATGTGAATACAGCAGAATCTCTAACTTGCTCATTGGAAACTGTCCTCATTATCCAAAAACACAGCAAACTTCCTTTTGACACCCCTAATTCCATTCATGGTCATTCTTCTGGCCATTCAAAGTTTGATGCCCTCTTTTATTCCATCTGTACTACACACCATAATGGCAGAGGAGAATAAACAAAAAGTCCTACGTTTAGAGTTTAGGGAACCAAACTGACTAAAGACTTTGGATAAAACCCAACCAGAACAGGCCCCACTCAGAAGGAACTGTTTCAAAGCAGACAAGTATCAGATGAGACACACTTGGTGGGGAGGGTACTAAAATTATACCACTATCCATCTGCTAGTTTGTAGTACTACGGAGGTTTACAAGCGGCTGTGATATTGGAAGTTCTGTCAGTGGTACTTCAAATATCAGCAGACAACGGGGTTGGACAGACTTCAGCAGAGCTTCTAGGCTAAGAAAGATTAGGAAGAAAGGCCTGGCAACAGACTTAGGAAAAATCACCCAATGAAAACCTTACAGCTCATCACAGAATGTTGTCAGATAAGAGTGCAAAAAGATGTGAGGCCCCCAGAGTGGAAGGCATGTAAAAGCCACAACAGACTCAATGATAACTAATATTAAAATTACTGATTAAAATATATCTGGTCAGAGCCAAAAATCTGAACTAATGAGGTCTAATTATAAAAAAGGGCCTACCCAGTGTCTAGAGCTAGATCACCCCAGAAGGCCCACCTCCATCTCTAATCTCAGGGCCCGTCAGCCAGGATGTGCAGCCTTTAGTGGCCCAAGACATCAACCAGGCTCTCATCGTTAAGTGGAAAACCAAGAAATTAGGGTCAGAGATAGTAAGAGCGTAGTGATAATAAGGAAGTAGTTTAAATCCATGCTGCGGCTACTACTGCTTGACAGATGAATTTGTTTCCTTTACTTTTTATTATCATTTGAATGAAAGTTTATCAGTTGGTTTTCTATTCAACAGTTCACACCCATTTTGTTCCCTGACACCGACTGCAATCCCCACAATGCTACAGTACTCTTTCACTTCCTCCCTGTGCTCACTGGTTCAGTCCTCCTCCTTTCCTGCCTCCTGCGCTTTATCCTGGGGCAAGTATTCCCCCTCCCCTACCCCATGGTCTCCTGTGGTTAACTGTTCGAAGGAGTGTGTACCTGCTTTTCTTCCCCTTACAGGCCTGTCTATTGTGAAAGTCATGCTGGTGAGTTCAGTTCCAGCTTGCAGGGTAATTAAGGGTCACCTGCTCAAAGGTTCTCTCTGTCTCCATCAGACCAATAAACCTGGTCTTGCCTATATATTGAGGTTTGTTTCATATTTCCCCCCACACTCTATCCAGAACCCTCTACTGTGAACCTGCTCAGAGTGGTCGGCAGTGGGAGCTAGGCACCCCTTGGTCTCAGGGCTGTGGAGATTTGAGCTCATGAATTCTATTTTCTCTTGGGACTGTTTCCATGTATCTTTGAGTTTCTTCACTTTTCTACACATTAAATAGGGGGTAGCAATAGCTGAACCTTAGGGGGCCACTTGCAAGCTTATCAGACTCTAGTCTCTACTCCCCAACATAGGATGGAGAACACGTTCTTTGTGGATAGTCAGACCAACTGATCTTGATGTCTGAGAGACTCTGCTTCTGAGTCTGCAGACCTTGCAACTCTTAGCTTTAGTTATAGCTAAATTGACACAGCTTTGCCCTATATAGATATATTTATAACACATGCAACTGCCTACATAGAAACATCACCTTCCAAACCCATGTATGTTCAGGGATTACATTCCTTCACGGACCCTCTCTGTCCATGTGCCCACTTGTAACAGTCGTTTTTACTGAAAATGCAGGCAGTGTCTCTAATTCTTGTGCATCTCTCCATATTTTGCTTTTCTTTAGAAATATTGTGCTGATCACAGCCTTTTCCTTCACCCCAATGAATGCATGGCTGATTAATCAACATTCTAATAAAGTGCCAGTGCTCTAATTGATTAATAAGATGTTTCCAATGTTTGATATTTTCATTTATTGAGCTGGTTCTGACTCATAGCAACCTGATCCTCCACCCAGTTTCTGAGGTTGTAAACCTTTACCAGAAGGGATTGTCCAACTGTCTCCTTGGCGCGTCTGGTGGATTAACACTCCTGCCCTTTAGTTTAGCAGTGCTGCCAGCACGCCACACATTAGTCTTGTGACAAATTTAACTGATTAAGTTTACAATCAGTATTTCAATGTTGAGTTTATCTTAATTAGACCGGGAAGTCTATCACTGAGTTTACTATTTTTTGTACAAGTATAAGAATGTATTGGGAACTTCTAGGTATTTCTAGGTACCTAGGTTTTGGGATTTGTTTTTGTTTGAGTTTTATAAAGAGCAGTTCAGTGGCAATGGAGGACTAGAAGCAACAGGCAGCATGTAAGACTATTTGGGAAGGTGTTCTCATTCACGCTCTGCATCTTCCAGACCTTGTGCCTTTACTCAAGCTGTTTACTTGTCTGCAACATCCCGTTCATCTTCCACGTCTAAAGCTTACCTACTCCTTAAGACCCAAGTCGAGTGTCATTTTTCCATCAACTTTCCCCTGATCTCTTGTAACAACTTCGTCCTCAGAACTCTGTCAAACAGTGCATCTGTGCTACAGCTGCTCACATGCTCTGCTTTACAGTTTCCTAAACAGTCATTCCTCCAGCATTTGCTGGGCGTGAATGAACTAAGTACCAAGTACCTAGTGAGTTTCTTCTCCCTGAGATGCAAACTCCTTGAAGACGGATATAGCCATGTCTCCCACAGCCAGCAGTCAAAATTAGGAATCTGAAAGAAGTCACATCTCTGTTCAAAGCTCTGGTAGCCCCCAAAGCCTGTGTAATATGGAATCAAATCCAAACTTCCCAGCTGGGCATAGAGGACCTCCACGGCCCAGCCCCAGCCTGCCTCCATAATCCCCACCCTCAGTGCTCTCCCACCTGAGCTCTGCATTCCAGAAGGAGGAACCATCCTATCTTCCCCACAATTCACCCTGCACCATCTGCTCTCCTCTCACGGCTCGTCTCGAGTCCTGCCCATCAACCCTCCTGGCTTACTTCAGATGTCTGCTTCTCAATAACGCTTTCTGCAGTCACCCCAAATTGCAAGGAGCCTCTGAGTTCTCTCTTCTCACAGCATGCTATTTAACCTTCCTTACGGGAGCCTTGGTGGTGCAGCCCAGAGAGAGTTATGCTGCTAATCCAGAGGCCATGCCTCTCTGGCAGTTCAAATCCAACCGCTCTTAAGGAGAAAGATAGGCAGTCTCCTCCTGTTCTATTTATAGCCTTGGGAACCCACTGAAGGGTCAGCTACGAGTAGTTTCCAGCTCAATGGCAATGAATTGAGAGTGCTGAAGCCTTTAGCATACCCTACTCTGTGTGTTCTAGTCATTTAGTTCTCTCTTCTATGAGACTCTAAGGTTTTAGGGCAGCAAGCCATATCTCCTTTATGTTTGAGTGATCGATACACTTGCCAGTGTATTTTGTGGAAGCAGTCAACGAATGGTGGTTACCTGGTAAATTAATAAACTCCTTCTCCCTCTTGTCCTTCCACCAATTCTCAGAAACCCCATGCGAAGAGGACTGAAATAAAATGGTTCAGCTTTCAAAAATGCACCCCACAAAGTGTAAAGCCTAAGAAACAAGGAGGGACAGCCCAGGCTGGCGCATTTGTCGGCAGGAGCTTCAGGCTCTTACCTCATACTCAAAATCACCCCCTAGGGCCCCAACATCCAGGTGCAGGTTCTTAAGAAGCTCACTTGAGCTGCGGAGACTCTGTGGGGATAAAAATAATTACAAAGGATCAGTCTAAGAAACTGGATGGGAAAACTCATTATAAGGAGTCAGTTTAAAGAAACAGGGCAGCCTCAGGGTGACCGGGATAGGGAGGAGAAATGGACACTGTTGAGCTGGCACGTAATGCCCAGAGAGGACTTCAGTGGTGTTTCAGGTAGGATCCTGACAAAAAGCCTCACAAAACTGCCTTTGCCTACCTAGCATGAACAATGGTTCAAGTGGCCAAGACTTCCTGCACTAGTTATGCTTACTGAGCTAGATGTAGGAAGAATTGAGACTGGTCAAGAAAAGGAGTGGTATGCACACCCATGTTTATTGCAGCTTTGTTCAGAATAGCAAGGAGTTAGAAACAACCTAAGTGCCCATCCCCAAACAAATGGACAGAGAAGCTGTGGTATAGTCACACAATGGAATACTACTCTGCATTGAAAAACAAGGAACTCATGCAATATTATTCAAAATAGGTGACCCTGGAGGACACTATGCTGAGTGAAGTATCTCAGTCACAAAAGGACAAATATTGCATGGTGCCACTGTTGTAAAATAGGACTGACCTCGGGGTTGGGGTGAGACTGAGGTTCAATAATGTATACTGCACTGAAACAGATGAGGGAGAAAACTGTTTAAAAGAGATATGTGATTAGGTATTTTTGTCATGATCATAGTCCAGAGGGAAGGCTACATGGTGGAGTGGACCTGGGGAGGGTTTATAAAACAATGAAAGAATTTCTTTTTTTTTTACTTTTCCAAGAGGGTAGTGTACTGGGGGGAAAGGTTGGGAGGGGAGAAAAGTATAACAATGAATAAATGGAAATCCAAAGTCTTTGTAAATTTTCATTGAAATTAATAATAAATTTAAAAAAAAAGATTTAAAGGGGGAAAAAAGGAAAGAAGTGGTGCCTCACAAATCAGTTTTACTTCTCTTCAAAATAGCACGGAGGGTCTACAGGCCGGGGAAGGGCTTCCTCAGTACCTGGTTGTCACTCTCCTCCTTCTCGTTGGGCTCCTCCCCTAAAGCCAACAGGTTGAGAACATTCTTATCCTCGTGAATGGATTCCAAGAGACTTTTTGTAAAAGCCGAACTCTTGAGACCCTGTGAGTGCTCCCAAATAGAGAGAAAAGTCAAAGGACTCCCCAGGAAGACCTTTAAAACAGCCTTTAGAATGCATTTCCCACTCTCAGTCCCACTCTGCACGCAAAGCTGTCCTCTGTCCCTCCAGCTCTTCTCTAAGTCCTGCTGCATGGACAAGGGAAGCAGTAGGGAAGACTCTATGGCGTGTATCTATTTTCAACTGCCCACAGTTCATATCCAGCATCACACAGTATGTCTACTCTTCCCAACAAAATGATGAGCTTTGGACGCTCAGCCTGTGCTCTTTCTCATCTCTGGGTTCCGGTGCCAAGCAGGGGACATGCAGTAACTAGATCCAATGATCACATGGGAAAGTATTTACCAGCATTTGTTCTCCAGGCTGATTGGACTCCACCAGGTTTCCCATGTTCATGCTTTGAGATCCACGAAGAGCAGAGGGTGGGACATCCCCAAGGCCTCGTAAGGGAGCCAAACCCCCAAGAGGAACGTGGACTGGGGCTAACGAGGAACGCAGGGCCTGGGCAACAGAAAACCTCATTACAAATCCAAAGAAACTCATTACAAATCCAAGGAACCATGGGCTCTGGGAGTGTTGGGGACAGATATAAAAATACACGGTCTAAATCTTGCCCGCTCAAATTTAAACCACCTCTGCTCAGAGGCTGCTAATGAAACACAACATCCAGAAATTACCATGGTGTCAAGTGTGTAAGAAATCACGGGCTGGCTTCCTGCTTCTCATACCTCTGCTGCTATCTCACAGCAAACACTTCTTTTACATCTGGCAGATGCTCTGCTCACCTCTCAAAAGCCATATAGGAAGTATGGGGGAGAGGGGAGCAGAGACAAAATCCTCAGGTGTCATCAGAAAGAGTCTCTACAGATAAAGTCCAAAGTTAAGGGGTCAACAGACAGCAGCGTGCACATACTATTGAGGGCACCAGAAGTGGACACCAGCCAAAGGTGGTTACCTCTGGGGAGGGTATACTCTCCGAAGAACCCCTCTATTATATTAGGTACCTGCACTCTGGTACTATCTGACTATTTCAATTATAGCTATGCATTGCTTTGACAAAAATAAATATAAATTATTTAAAAGTATGCACAAGCAATGAGAAAACTTTCTTGCTCCTCCATATGAGGAGGAGGCGGCGGCTTGTAAAGGTAATAATGTGACCAGTCAGTCCGTCCTTTCCCTTCCCTCTTCACAGGAGGGCCAACTCAAGGATGACTGCAAAAAGGAAGGAGGCTGGGAGACCCCGGGTTACTCAGCCTCAGATGCCTCAGTTTGTTTTGCAGGACAGACGATGTGGACCTTGCCATCTAGGGTTTGTGGAGAAACTCAAATGAGATGGTTTTATGAGTGGTGAAGCTCTACAAAGTATTAAAGAACTGTTATTCTAGGGGTGGCCTAGACATAAGGAGTTGTGCTGCCAAGTCAAAGGCAGGTAGTTTGAATTCCTGGGAGGAAGATGGGCAATCTCCTTCCACGTGATTTACAGCCTCTGAAAACTCACTGGAGGGTCAGCTATGAGTCACTTCCAACTCAACAGTTCATAACAACAGCAACGCATATAGCAACATGGGTTTCTCAGAAATAGAGGCATGGATAGCATTTTGGGTACAAATTTTTAAAAGTCCTTTAAAATGGTGCTGGAGATGAGTATTGAATATACCGGCTGATAGGAGAACAAACAGGTTCATCCTGGAGAGGGTGAAACCAGGCTGCTTCTTGGAGACAAGGATTCTGAAGCTCCGTGTGACATACTTTGTACATGTTGCAAGGAGGGACCAGTTCTTGGAGAGGGACATTATGCTTGGGAGGATAGAGGGACAGCGCAAGAGAGGAAGACCCTCGATGAGACAGATTGATTCCGTGATTAGGGTAATAAGGGTAGGTGTGTCAGAGACAATAAAGTTGGCATAGGTCAGAGCAGGGTTCAGGGCTACTGTACAAAGGGTCACTATGAGTCGCAAGCGGCTCAACAGCATATAAAAACAACAATAATAACAACAACTTTAAAATTTGTTCCTAAAACTTTTTGAAAATACAAAAGTTCCATTTCTCTCTAATCCCACAGGGACTGAAGAGAAAAAGGAGCTCAGAGGAGGTCAGATTGACAAAATAGAGTTGACCGGTCTGGCCACGCAAAGGCATAGCCTAGGAACTAGACCATCAGCTGGCTCCCAGCCACCAGTGCCTGATTCTGTGCATGGACGGCACCAGATGCTCATCGGAAAGGTGAGATGAGAACCAGAGAGAGCCTTTGTAGAGTCCAAATCACCTGATATAATATGATAGGGTGTCTTTGGCAAGGGGAAAAGGGACCAACAGCAATTAGCCAGCATTATCCATGCATCAGGGGCCTGGACTAAGCACTTCCCATGTAATGTATCATTTCACTCTCACAACCCCCTGTGGCTGGCTCTACTTCCACCCACTATGCCCACATGAACAGAGGCTAAGCCGCTTGTCCAAAGCCACAGGGCCGAGAAGTGGACATCAATGGGACCAGGCTTATCTCTAAGGAAGTATTATATTTCCCCTCCTGATTATGGAGAAGAGTCAGTAAAGCTTGTCTGAGGTGAGCAAATGGTATGCTCCTCCTAGCTTCAGCCCTTCCAACCAACCCTGGTGTACATGAAAGCAAAATTCCTCTCACAGTGTATTTATGGAAAATTACAGACTCCTAACATGGCTAATTTGCTAACGTGCTGGGGGCTTGAGAGAGGGAGACAGGCATGCTGAGGGCTTTGTTCTCCCAGGCCTTTACCAAATCAGTGTTTAGCAGGGAAATTATACATTCCTGGCTCCTAGCTGATCATCTTCTCTAGACGGCCATTAAGTCTGAGTATGGGGCTGTGCCTGGCGTTGTCCTTCAGAGCGGATAAACTTGCTGCCATTGGGCTAATTAAAACTTTCAGGATAATCTGCAGCTTATCTGATATTTATAGGACTACAGTAGTCATTAGAGCTAGCAGAGAACCAGTGCACAGCAGCAATTAGGAACCAGAGGTAACAACTGGGTAAAGCCACAGCTGGGCAACAGCAAAAGAATAGCCGGGAAATTCCTACTGATCCTTCCCCATGATTTCTAATCCCACTTGATTTCTTCTGAATGAACAGTATGACTCTTTAAAGGGACAAAGGGTCAGAATGACAGGGCAAGCCCAGCCCTTTGGCAATTCCCAGTGGGAATGGAAGTGAAGTCACAAATAGGATCTGCACCAGCTGGAGACAGGTTATTCAGTGTTTTCTGGGGTCCTGGGAGGCAAAGAAGGCAGAAAGGTCTCAACGACTAGCCTTCATGAGAACATGAACACCCCTTTTCCGTTTGACCCACTCAAGGGACTAAATTTGGCACGTGGCACAGAGTACCACCATGAAAGGACCTCTCAATCATCAGTTAATGGAAAGGCTTCCAAAATGCTGCACCTAAGTCCCACACAAGTACCTGGATCAGCACCTCCTTACCAACTTGGAAACTTGGCATCTTCAAAGCAGATGTGAATTATCCATGAATTATAGTTAGATGCTCTAGTTAGGGAGCTCCAGTAGCCTACTGAAAAGGAGCTCCGCTGCCATCCCAAAAGTACATGGTTCGAATCCACCAGCTTTTCCACAGGAGAGATGGGCCATCAACTTCCATGGGATTTACTGCCTCTGAAAACCCACTAGAGGTTCAGATATGAGTCAGTTCTGGCTCGAGGGTACCCAACAACCGTTAGATGCAAGGAAGGGAAAACACAGATGCCCCTTGGTCCCTTGGTAGAGGGGTAGCAGAAACATGAAATACCCCACAATACAGCCATAGTGGATAATTAAAATCTCTGGTGGCCTAGTGACAAGAAGCTGTGCTGTAATCTCAAAGGCATGCAGTTCGAGCCACTAGCTGTTCTGTGGGAGATGGATGAGCAATCTCCTTCTGTCTCTGAAAACCCGCTGGAGGGTCAGCTATGGGTCAGTTCTGACTCTACAGTACACAACAACAACAACAATAGCATATACCCAAGGAAGGGAACTAAAAAGAACACAAACCTAGTGGTTGTATTAATATGTGAACCCAGTTGGCTCTCTCTTAAATTCACTAAGGCTCTCAGGCCATGCTCTCTATGAAGCGTACCTGGTCGAGAAGCTGCATCTTGCCTGGCTCTGCAGCCAGCCCTCTGCTGGAACTCAACTCAGTTAGCCCCTGCGTGACGAGGCTGCTGTGAGACTGGAAACAGGCTTGCTGAGCGGCCTCCTGCCCAGCAAGGGCCAGGACTAGCTCCTGAGGATGCTGCCGCAATGCGGGCCCCCACGTGAAAAACTGCGAGTCCCTCTCCAGGGTTCCCATGGTCTCGTGCTTACACTCCCTAGACATTCCGGAAGACTCTGCCGCCATACAATAGACCATGCTGGCGATGTCTTTGCATGGCATTTCCTGCATACTCTCAGGCAGCTCCAGGCCCTCCAACCGGCTGGAGATGTTGACCATCTGCAAAATGTGCTGGTAGAACCTCTGATCCTCAGAGTAGTCTTCACTCTCAGACTGCTCATCCGCAGAGCTCTGCATGTGGGGCAGCTGGGATGCTAGGAATGGGCCAATGTGGGGAGCCCTGCATGCCACACCTGACAGATCTGCTCCTAGCTCCGCTCCCAGGGGGCTCTGCAGGCCCCAAGGGAAGCTGATCTCTTCATCCAGGATGTGAGAGCCAATAGGAGAGGCCGGGCTACCACTGCTGCTTTCCAAGTGATGTCTAAATACATCAGGTTGCTGACCTTCATCAAGGGGCACTGGGGACCCTGGAGGGTGTCTCTTTTCACTGACAAGAGGGAGACTAGGGGAACTCCCCAAAGGAACATTCTGAACTGCCTGTGTATCAGAGGAGGGAACGAGAGAAGGATTCTGAGGTCTACTTTCAGCTGAGGTCCCCAAACCCTGAGGGCCACTGGGCTCTGTTTCTTTGTTGCTCTCTGGGGTGTCCTTGTTAACAAAGCTGGAGACCTGTCCCATCCACAGTCCTGGAGGTTCTCTCCTCCTCCTTCCCCTGCCTATGCTCACCCCTTCTCTAGGAACTTCCTGCAAACTCAGGTCTTCAACTGGACTCCTATCTAACAAGAATAGCTTGTTCTTCCCGATAGGCAGTATGGGGTCAGAAGAACAAGGGGACAGGGAGGGGGGCTCCTCCCCAGGACATGGCAAAGAGATGGGGCTCTGGCCCTTGTCCCCCCCAGGTCCTGTGGGGCTCAGCTTGACTACATTGTGGCTGTAAGGCTCCTCCTTCATCTGTGGCTCTTGGATGCCTTCAGAAAGCCTTGAGTGGGCAGAGGGCTGACTCTTGCTCTCTACCACATCCTGCCCACTGTGGAGTGGCCCGAAGTTTTCAGGGCCCAGAGGGCTAGGTTTGTGCTGTCTGGACCTCATTTCCAGCTCTTCTATTTCAGGATCTGAAAAACCCAGGTATATTTTCTCTGCTGGCTTCTGGGGTCTCTCCAGACACTGCTGATCACCTAATTCTGTTCCGCATTGTGCTGGGGCTCTGCCTAAAATTTTCTCCACGTCGGCAAAGATCTGGTGGGTTCGAGAAGATTGGCCTTTGGACAGCGGCTGCAGCTTGCTGGGCAGGGTGGCCATGAGAAGCCAGGGGCTGTCACCCAGCATGTAGGAGTTCTTCCCTTTCTTAAAGCAGCCCTCACTTCTAGCCTGCATCTCTTGTCCTAGGTCCAAACCAGCAAGCCCAGGTGCTGGAAGAGGGGATGGGCCGTGGAGAAAGGAAGGAGGCAGAAGTCCCTGCTCAGGCTCTGTTTCCTAGATGGGCATATAAATATGCAGAGAAAACTGAGATAAAGTCTTTCCAACTGCCACCTCAGCCTCTGGCATAAACCCGCCCTCCATTTAAAGTAAATTACAAACCCAAGAGGGAAGGAAAATTCCTTTGGGCTGAAAATATACTGTTTTCTTGGCCCTAGTTTTCTTATTTGAAAGAGCCCGGACTAGATCAATGGCTGGGAAACCTCACTCCTTAGAAGAAAAGTGGGAGTCATTCTACAAGGTACCTTGGGGGCCACTAGTGTGTACTTGTGTGTGAGAGAGGGGTTGCCAAGACTCACACCCTCAACTTCAGCCAAAACCATTCCACTTTTCTTTTATATAGTGGACTTCCATGAAGGAAGTGATCTGAAGACAGGCCTTTACTATGGACAAAAGTCTGAAAAACCAATCAGATCATCCCTACGGGAAAATCACCAACCAGATTCTCTTAAGCCTCCTTCTAGTTCTTCAGTTCTGAGATCAATCAACTTCATAAAACCCACTAACTTTACCAAGGATTACCAAAAATGTTCTATGGAGGAAGGGAGAAACAACCAATATCCTGAGCTTTGAAAACAGTCTAGAGTCTTCTACCAAAAGCATGAATTGGTCCTTCTTGAGAGGGGTCCACAGAGTTAGAAAATCTCAGAGCTGGAACATGCACTGTCGACATTCACACTGAACAGCCCCAACCTGCAAGTGCAGACCTCCAGAAAGCCCAGACCCCTAAATCTGGGGCGCCCAGTTGGCTCACATGTGAGGTACATGTTTACAGCCTTACCACCGAGACCAGCAACTCAAGGTTGCCCAACTGTCCTCTCCTTCTGAAAGCTCAGAAGGAGCCCTTTCTAACCGTGAACTCCATGAGCACAGGCTCAAACCTAGAACCCAGTCAGCCACCCACCCCTCCACCCTAGAATCCACATTTCATTCCCTCTGCTCACCTTGAGTCAATCGAACTGAACAACAATGGCAACAATCCTGGGCTAGTGAAAAGCCCATCATCCATCATTTGCCTTTCAAATAAACTGTACCCTTTAGAGTACATTACACAATTAGATAGTACAATTTATTTAGAAATGCCTGCCCTACCTAGCGCCTGGAAATGATAAAAACATAAACTGGTCGGCAACCACTCAAAGCCAGAGCTGAGGTCCGGGGAAGGAAGAAAGGGCACATCTTCACTAAGGAAGTAGCATACAGCTCTGGTAGCAAATACAATAAACCAAACAGCCAAACAAATGGACTACTGTAGGGGTCCCTAGTATTCTCCAACTGGCTGAACTGTGTTATGTCATCTCGCCTCCTCGTGATCCACCTGCCCACACCCGGGTGAAGGTAAGATGGCCTGAGGTTCCCTGTACACTACAGGGTTCCAGGAGAGACTCCATCTCCTATCAGGACAGCTCCGGCCTTAGCTTCTCTTGAGGGCCAGAGCTCTGCCTTCCATGAACAGAAGTACTGGAGGAACCAACCACCACAATCATGGGAAAGAACTCTGAACTGTGAATGAAGAAGCAATCTTACAGGCGAGTTCTGACCATGCAATGGAGGACCACACGCTAAAGCGTGGGGACTATGAGACAGTGAAGCCATTAACACTTATTCTGCATCTGCTTGACTTGGCAAATGGCTATTTACCAGAGAAATAAAATTCCATCCTTTGTGAGGCACTGAAAAAAAAATGTTACATGAACCAAGCTGGTCAAATTACAATCAAATTTTCATTTTTCAACACCAACCAAGACACTAGGAACAATAATAATTCATGGGTGTACACAAGGCCCAAAGTTTTTCTTTCTGGATCTTGAAGGCACTGGTGGTCTCTCAACTAAACCGTGACTACATGGACCATCTTCAAGTAACAGCCCTGGGAGACAACGTATTCACACCTGACTCTAAAAGAACAGGAAAGAGGCTTTAATCATCCAGGCCCACTGGCCTCAACCCAGCTGCTCCTTATCCTTCATTTTGAGGGGCAGAAGGCATCACTCCTCAGACAACTTCAAGACACCATTCGCGGGAGAGCTCCCGCCCTCTCCCTATTAACTAGTACGTACTTCCCAAGGACAGACAGAAACTGCCTAGAGAAACCAATAACTTCCAGGATCTGAAAGGATATTTGCCAGAAGGTAGGCTTAATTCAGATAATACACCATAACTAATTTATTATTTTATTAATCTTCAACTTTCAACCCAGTTGTAAACTCCAAAGACACACACACCATTGACAGCTCCCTACATGTCAAAATAAAACTATGCTCCATAGGATTTCAATGGCTAGAAGCCGACCTTTCTCCTAAGTACCCAGAATTCCCAATAGCCTCTAAGGTCTGGGCTTTGACCTGTCTCGAGGAACTGGCATTTGCTGACTCACCAGGTGACTCCTGGGGGTGTCTTTGTCCTTCTTGTCTTTCTTTTCCTTTTTCTTCTTCTTCTCTTTCTTCTTAATAGCCCCAGCAGACAGCTTCCCTCGCTCTTGGATGACCAGGTTCCGATAGTGCTCATCACATGGATGGTCCCACATGGACTGTCCATTGGCAAAGTTGAAATAGTAAATATCACCTGTGATGTCCTGGCTGGGATAAGAAGAGGGGAGAAGTTAATGCCATCTTTGATCCAAATCACTCAGACAAAAGGAGAAAATAAGAGGAAAGGCAAGCAAGGAGGACAAGTAAAGAGAGGGAAAGAAGGTACAGGGGGAGAATAAAGAAAGAAGGGAGAAGAATCTGCTTAGACAGAGAAACAAATGTCTGGGAAACCTAAGCCTTCATTAACTGTCATTGTTGTGGTTGTGGTTGTTGTTAGGGGCTGTGAAGTATGACTCACAGGGACCCTACAATAGAGCTGAACCCTGTCCTATCTATCCTATGCCAACCTCATCATCTCTGACACACTCGAGCCTTATGCCACAGTCACTGTGTCAATCTATCTCATTGAAGGTCTTCCTCTCTTTCACTGACCCCTCTCCCTTTCCAAGGAATAGCCTCTCCTAGCAGCTTATCCTAAGTATACAAGATGAAACTTTTGTCACCCTTGCCACCAAGGAGCACTCTAGCTGCAACTTCTCCAGGATGAATCAATTTGTTCTTTTGACAGTCCTTGGGGCATCCAGTCTCCAACATCACAGTTTAAAAGCATCAATTCTTCTGTCATCCTTATTCATTGTCCAGCTCTCGGATCCACAACAAGTGATTGGAAAAAACCATGGCCTAAATCAGGGCCACCTCAGTCTTCAAAATGTAATCATTGCTCTTCAATAATGTGGAGAGATCCCTGTCTGCAGACTTTCCCACTGCAATATCTATCCTGATCTCCTGACTGGTGGCGCAAAAGGTATTGACCGGAAATCCAAGTAAGTTGAAGTCATGGACACTTTTCACCTTTTCTCCCTCTATTATGGCATTTATCAGCCCAGGGGTGAGAATTTTTGTTTTCTTGAAGCTTAGAGGGCACTGAGTTTAGGTTAATAGTGGTGGTACAACTCAGAAAAAGATGGCAGCACAACCCTAAGAATGTACCATATTTTCACAAATACTACTTGTATTGAGTTGGGTTTTGGTTTTTTCTCCAACTGTAATCTCCTTCATGCTCTGCAAGACATTTTCATAAGCAGCTCTATACAAAATTTTTAACACTGATAGGTTGCTATAAAAATGTTAGCACAGCTAACAAAAAAGTTAACACACTGATGAAAATACCTCTCTTCCCAGAGGGTGCAATGTGGCCCTCCGAAAAAAACAGACTGCAAAAATCTGATAACCAAGGTCATTGAATCTGAAGTAGAAATTGTTAACTTGGTATATGCTGTGCTGTACATAGTCTCAAAAACAAAAGTAAATACTTTTTTTTAAAAAGAGCAATGATAGGAAAGTAAATAAATAATTTTAACATGTTTCCGCATAATTTTTAAATTGACTACCATGCTTAGAAACACATTTGCCGTCATTTGTGGCAAAGTGTTAAAATGCAGTAACTTAAATAGTAGGGTACTAACACAAAGACAGACAAACTGATTGACGGCACAAAATACAAACCTAGAGGCAAACTCATTCATATATATATATATATATACATATATATATATATGAATTAATTATATATGAATTTTTATATATATATAAGAATTTTGTTTAAAGAAGGGCAACACTTCCAACCAACAAGGAAAAGTGAACCAGTCTTTCAATAAATGGCACTGAGATACTCATTTAGATTCACATACAATATCATCCATCAAAATAAATTCTAGATCAATTTGAGCTTAACATGAAAAAAATAAAACTATATTATAAAGCACCTTAGTCTCCAGAGAGAAACCATTGCTCTTCAGTACTTTGGAGAGGTCCTAACAGCAGACTTTCCCATGGCAATACACCTTTTAATTTCCTGGCTACTGGTGCCAAGAGTGTTGACTGTGGAGCCAAGCAAACTAGAGCTGTGAACAATCTCAATCTCTTCATCATCCATCCTGATGCTGTCAATTGGTCCAGTGGTAAGAATCTTTGTTTTCTTGACATTGAGCCTAATCCATATTGGAGGCTGCAGTCCTTGACCCTCTGCAGCAGGTGCTTCAGGTCCTCTTCAGTTTCAGCAAGCAGGGTTGTGTCATCTGCATAACGCAGATTGTTGATAAATCATCTACCAATCTTGACCCCACATTTCTCCTCACAGAGCCCAGTGTCTCTCTGGAGACTAAGGTGCGTCTGATACAGGCCATGGTCTTCGCAATCACTTGTTATGCATCAGAGAGTTGGACAGTGACCAAGGAGGATAGAAGGAGAATTGATACCTTTAAGCTGTGGTGCTGGAGAAGAGTACTGAGAGTACCATGGACTGCTACAGAAACAAACAGATTCATCCTGGAAAGGGTTAAAACGGATGGCTCCTTGGAGGCAAGGATTCTGAGGCTCCGTCTAACATATTCTGGACATGTTGTAAGGAGAGACAGGCAGGTCCTTGGAGAAGGACATCATGCTTGGGAGGGTGGAGGGACAGCACAGAAGGGGAAGGCCCTCTATGAGGTGGACTGATTCAGTGACTGGGATAATCGGGATGGGAGTGTCAGAGACAGTGCGACTGGACAGGACAGGGCAGAGTTTAGGGCTGTTGTACATAGGGTCGCTATGAGTCACAAGCGACTCGACGGCACATAACAACAACAACATATTATAAAGCAAATACAGGGTAATTTCTTAATGAGTTAAACATAAAATACCCAAACCAAATCCACTGCCAATGAGTTGATTTTCACTCAGAGCCACTGTATGCTGCCTCTCAGGATTTCTAAAGGTGTAAATCTACACAGAAGCAGATTTTCATTGCTTTCTCCCAAAAAGCAGCTGGGAGGATCAAACCACTGACCTTTCTGTTAATACTTACCCACTGCACCGCCAGGGCTCCTATAAGTAAACTGTTGCTGTCAGGAGCCATCTAGCTAACTGACCACCGGACTCATAGTCATCCTATGAACAAAGCCTGAAACTCTGCCATCCTCATAAAATGTCATGCTCGAGTCACAGTGGCATTCGGTCTTGTTCAGCATCTTCCTCTCTTTCGCTGAGCCTCTATTTTCCCCAGCATCATATCTTTTCCAAGGACTGGCCTCTCCTGCCAACATGCTCAAAGTTTATGAGATGACATTTCACTATCCATGCCTCTAAAGAACATCCTCATTATACTTACTCCAAGACACATCTGTTTGTTCTTTTGACAATACACGGGATATTCAATAGCCTTCACCAATACCACAATTCAAAAGCATCAATTCGTCTTCAGACCTCCCTATTCACTGTTCAACTTTCACACACTTATGAAGCAACTGAAATTACCATTGCTTGGGTCAGGTGCACCTTAGGCTTCCAAGTGACATCCTTGCTCCTTATCACTTTAAAGAGACTCTTGGCGGCAGATTTGCTCTTGGCGGCAGATTTGCCCAATACAGCATGTTATCTGATTCCTTGACTGCTGCTGCCATAGTGTACACTGTAGATCCATGTAAAGTTAAATTCTTGACAGTCTTTTCTTTCCATCTTTTCTCCATCTACCATGATACTCCCTATTGGTTCAGTGGTGAGGATCTGTGTTTATTTGATGAAGTGTAATACTTAGTGAAAACTATAGTATTTGATCTTCTTCATTAAGTATTTCACATTCTCTTTACTTTCGGCAAGCAAGATTGTGTTTTCTGTGTATCTCACATTGTTAATGATATTCCCTCCAATCCCAATGATGCATTCTCCTTCCTATAGTCTAGTTTCTCAGATTATTTGCCCAGCACACACACTGACTAAGTATGGTAAGAGGCTACCACAAAGGTGCATTCCTTTCTTGATTTTAAATTATTCTTGTTCTGTTCAGACAGCAGCTTGTTGGTCCAGGTACAATTAAGTGTTCTGGGATTCCCATTCTTCTCAATAGTAGCCATAATTAAAATAATACCCACACAGTCATGTACTTTTGCAGAGTCAACACAAGTTAATATCTTTCAGTATTCTCTGCTTTCAAGCAAGATACATCTGACATCAGCAACGATATCCCTCATGCCTACAGCCTCTCTCATTCGAGCCTGGCTTCCTGGCAACTCTCTGTCCACGGATAGGTTCAGTCATTTTTGTATAATCTTCAGCAAGATTTTACTGACATGATAAACTCACTGAGAGAACCGTTCATTTTAATAGAAAGTAACATGGTATTCACTTTTTAACAGTTAAATTCTGCACATCCTTTAATATACAATATTCAAATACTAGAAATTCATTCTGAAGAAATTTATAGAAAGACTTCTGACAACATGTCTAAATGAACTGAAGGGATTATCATACCTCACCTCAACCCTGCAATCACAAACACTATACTAATAAATAAAGGGTGCTCTGAGGGCTTGGCAGTAAGGAGCTGTACTGCCAACTCAAAGGCAAGTTGCTCAAGTCCACCAGTTGCCCTGTGGCGGAAGGATGGGTATCTCCTCCCATGCAATTTACAGTCTCTAAAAAGCCTCTAGAGGGTCAGCTATGAGTTGGTTCTGACGCAATGGCAGTGAATAACAATATATAACAACAAAAACAAAAGAATTTTTTTTCTTCAGTATCGACACATAGTAAAATTCTCAAATGTCAAAATCAGAAAGGTTACTTGAGGCCTGAGTGATTAAGTACATGAACTGAGAAGTGAAAACCAGTATCTAGTTATAGGCCAGGGAAAGATGGTTTTTAATGCCAATTTAGGCACAAAGTGCCCTTACAAATTTGGAAACTAGCACTGAGATCCTTACATAAAACTGAGGGGCCCTGAAGTCTCCTCCCTCCATGGAAAAAAGGGGCTTAGCAAGCCATGGACTTGGAAAGGAACATCTAACTACTCCAGGGACGATGCAGGCAAAATGAAACTTTATGGACATTTACCTCAAGACATACTCAGATACACACTTCGAAATGTGGTCAAAAAATCCCAAGTAGTAAAAAAATTCAGTCCTGAGACACTGAAAAACTTTTGGCAGAGGTACTTATAATGCCACTCAAAATTCTAGGAAGGAGACTCACACAGAAAATAACCCTGACAACACTCACAAGAAAGACTCTAA